CCCAGGTAAAAACCAGATCTAGACCCATCGCCCCCTTCTCCTTCCGGCGGCTGCGATTGCCCGACTTGGCCTTGGCCGTGGCTTCGCCTAGTTATTCATCACCGCTGGCCCTCCAGCGTGCTGATGGTGGATGAGCCGTCGTCGTTCTCCACCTTCTCCCCGTCGCCATTAGACGATTCTCCATAGCAAAAGTTGGCGTTAGATCCGGATTTCATGAAATCGCGGATGTTTAAACATCTTTAGGAGTTGAGTAACAACACATCATCTCCTTCTCCAACATAAACGAAAATTGTGATAAAAAATGCCAACATAAAAATGTTTCTCTCTCCAGATATAAAACCCACGCTTAGCGCAATCAACTCACCTGCGCAATTTAAGGGATGTTCTTCCATTTTTTTTGGTAACTATATATTTGGATATACACAAATAAATGTCATCTAATTGGTAGGAATGCAATTATAATTCTCCCCTTCGTAACATTGCAATTATTTTTAAATGGTGTGGTAATCATAAAATTATCCCAAAAATAAATAAAACTTAGAAATTTGGCGGGCCTCTCCTGGGCCGGTTCTGGACCCACCCTTAATCGGCCCCACGCATCAAAAAATGAGAAATGCTATAAGTACACAATAGTGTACATAAAGATGTACATAACACTTACATTAAGTGGGTACTACCAAAAATAAAAAATCAAGTGGACTCCATTTAATGTGAGTGTTATGTACACCTATATATACATTTATTATATACATGTAGCATTTTCTCAAAAAATTATGTAAACCTGAATCGTCCGTGAAAATCCAGGTTCAAGGTCCGTGGTAAATGGGCCGGTTCGTGGCCGGCCCGTGGACATTCTATGACAGTGATGATTAATTAAAGACGCCAGTTCAGCTGCACGAACTTTGAAAATTCTCACCATCTTCAGTTTCAAGAAGCTGTTTTTTAACAAATAATTTCTGTTTTTGGCCGCCACTGTTTTCCTCACTTGTTTTCTGCTGCTGCTGGGCTCAATATTAAATTGTGAAATTATTATTTTCTTTTTCAATTTTGCTGGTGGGAGAGGAATTTTCAGTAATTTTTTCATTTTTATGTTAGATTCATTTATGTTGATATTGGATTTCTAACGTGTAGCCTTTTGTTACATGTTTATTAGCCGTCAAAGTTTATCTCTAAATACATAATTGTGAACCGAAGTCGTGGTGTAGTTATTCAGTGACATGGAGGACAACACAATGAAATGGGCGGCGGAGGTAGAGGCTGAGGCTGAGGCTGAGGCAGAGGCAGTGGCGGCTTTTGTTGAGAAAGAAGTTGGTGACTGGGACGACGAGGCCACGAGTCGAGCAAGATTTAAGGCCCTAAGCGGACAGAGGTCTGATTGGGAGCCGCTCTATCTTTTCTGGAGGAATTTGATTATCAAGGTCGCTCGCCACCTCCGCATCTTCATCATCCGCCCTACCCACGTCAAAAGCCTCTGGTTCCGGCGAGCTGGCTTGTCCCCGTTGTGCCTCGATCGCGTCCTTGTCGAGATGCATCGCGCCGGTGACTTATTGCTGCCCCACACTCATGCTAATTCATCTTCACTTTCCCGATTCTCCATCATTTTCGACAGAGCCCTAGGTTTTCTGGGGGTGAAAAACAAGGATAGTCTTTCTCTTGCCGGAGATTACTATATCCTTTCACCGCTGTTGCAGGTGATTTGCTAATTGATGATTCCTGCCCTAATTCTCGTTTTCCTTTGCGGATTTTGTTTATACAAGTAAAAAAGCACAAGGCTTCCGTGTGCACAGGAGAGATCCCTTGAAGTGGTTCATGTATTGTCCGAAAATCATTGGACGTCTTGTTGTGTCATTACCATGAGGAAATTTCAGGATATCTGTGAGGGATCGGAGGAGAAAGCACTTGCAATCTTGGACTACTTGTCGGCGCAAGGTAGAGCGAAACTTCTCACCATCAACAGAGCAGATCCAATTCAGGTAGATTCAGTTTTAATGCATTTTGACAGTTTTGATTGGATACACAACCATCTAAGTTTTAAAAGAGTACGATAATTCTGCTACCAATTTAATTTTGAAGAGTATCTCTACTATTAAATGTTCTAAAATAAATGATGATATCAGGGAGTGAAAGTGTGTCTTGCTCCTGGAGCTGATTCTACTCCCTTAAGTGTGGATTACTCTATTTTGCACTTAGTTTGGACTACAGAAAAACTTGAGCAGCAGCTTGATTCCATCGACCACCGCTATCAAAAGTAAGAATATCTTTTTGTGACAATATGCAAAAGTTTGTGGATTTTTGTGTTTTCTAATCAGTCTCAAGTAGGCCAACAGTGTGACTTGAAGAAGTCAGATAGAATGTAAACGTAGTACGATGTTTTTCTTTAGGATATTAGTTAATGTACATCTCATCATTTTGTCTGAAAAATGGAGATATCAAGACGACTCTTTGTTATTATTGTCTTATTATTAGCATTAGCATCTATTATTTAGTTAGGCATATATTCTCATTGCTTATAAATGGGACTTTGTGCAGAAGCAGGACTTTGGCTTTAGCCTCTATTAAAGATGGAAACAAGAAACGTGCCTTGAGATATGCAGCAGAACTGAAGCTTGCTTCTCAGAGCAGAGAAAGATGTTTGTCTTTTCTGCAGAGGGTGGAAAATGTTCTCGAGGTCATTACAGATGCCGAGTCCTCTAAAAAGGTATGTTCCATTGTCTCAGTAAATCTTTTCTTGTGGCGAGAGTAGGGAATTATTTATATCATCCAGCCCTAATTGTTGACGGCCATCAACATCCAATTTTGCTTTGTTTGTTTCATTTGCAGAAGAAATAGTTTTAGGTAATGCGACACATAGTAAGTATTAAATCAGAATTAGGAGGTTTTGCAATAAATAGGGTTCAGTTACATTGAGTGTTGTTCCAATAAAAAACCGAGGTCCAATAAGATAAATGTAGAAGTTGCTGATCATGCTTGGAATGGCAATTTTTTCTTTTTAAGAGTAGGAAGAGAACTATAGATGTTACATATTCTTTGTCGACTAAAATGGATAACTAACATGTCTTCCCTCCCACGTGCAAACTTCTCCTCCGAGCGTCCTCAACGTCTCTGTCTCTGTGTTGCTGCTACTTTTCTAATTTCTGGATGCCCCCTTTATGTGTTGCGCTAGTCCCTTTTTAATATGTCCAAACTCCAAACTCTTTCCTTTAAGTGGTGTGTGGGCTGTGTTCTCCTTTTGTTTTCCTTTGTTCTTTCTGAATAAGTTTCTCCTCTCAAATCCATTACGTCCGCAAGTCATATCGTCAAATAAATACTTGTACTCTGATCAATTTTCCAATTGTATACATGTGCTGCCAGCAAAACCTCAGGTTAGGCTTTGAATATGCAGCCCTATGAAACTCCACACTTGGGCCTCAAAGTGGGCTGGTGTAGGGCCCATACCGGCTTGCTAAATCTCCAGTCCAATGATTCTTCATCCACAAAAACACTCCAATAAGCTGAAAATGAAACATAAGTATATCATAGTTCATTAATCCATCCATATGCTTGGGACTAAACTCAACATACACTTTATTATCATGTAATCTACGTACATTTTTTGGCCTATCAGCCGTTTAGTTTGTTATTGTCGTTTGTTCTCTCACTTTAATTATATTTCTAACTCATCTTATGTTGTGCAGGTTTCAGATGCCATTCAAAGCAGTACACAGGCTTTGAAGGAAAACCAAATCAATCTTGAGGAAGTTGAGAGGTGTCTGAAGGAAGTTGATGAGAACATTGATTCACTCAAACAACTTGATAAAGCTTTAGGTAAAGTTTCCATCATCCATCTCATTTCAACTAATTTGGGAACGAGCAATGCCAGTTTCTTTCTTTTGTTGCAGAATTATATGTGGCTGTCTATCTAAAATCTTTACACTTAATATATGTAGAATCGGCAAATGCATATGGAGAGATAGATGATAATGATGTCGAAGATGAATTTGAAAAGCTGCAGCTGGGCATTTCGAGCGAAGAGGTCAAAGCACCAATTGGAGCAAAAGAAGAGGTTTCACAAACAACTTATGTTCTGAGCAGTGCCCTATCTACACTTCGTCTTACAAGTGAAGCAGAATGCGATGTAATACCTGTAAGCAACAAAAGTATGCCTAAGGAGACCGTTCTTGAAACTGCTCGACTTTGTAGTTGTGACTAATCCATTTTTTTTGTATCAACAAGTATTCCATCCATGGGAGGAATGTAATTGTACAAATAGCTTTTAGAGAATGTTATATCCATAGAGGCCTCTACTTATTGTTATATTTATTGGGTTATATGCGAGTGTAGATGGATGCTAAATTAACAGGTGGGGTGATATTTGAACGATTGAGTAAAAGGTAACAAAATAAAAGAAAAAATCAAACGTTCTCCCTCTTT